AACACTGGGGAAAATTAAATATTCATCAGTAGAGAAACGGGTAAATAAATTATGGTATATTCTTGCAATGGAATAATACATAAAACAGTCAAATTGAACAATTAACTGAATAGTTGCAGGTTTTAATTCCCTGCTTTTAATAATGGATAGAACCACTAGCCAGGAGATCAACAAGGAAACAGAGGACGTGAACAGCCCCATAAATTAACTAAATCTAACAGACATCTATAGCACACTCCACCCAATAGCAGGACACATCCTTCTTAAACACACACCTGGAACATTCTCTAAGATAGGTCATTCACTGGCCCATAAGCTAGCTTCAAGAAGCTTACAAGGATTGAAATGATACAGAGTATGTTTTCCAGCCACAGTGGTATTAAATTAGAAATAAATAACAAAGAAATGTGGGGAATTCACAAATATGGGGGAAATTAAACATCACACTTCTAGGTGACTAGTAGGTCCAAGAAGGCATCAGGAAAGAAATTAGAGAACTTACTTTGAGATGATTGAAGATAAAAATATTACCTACCACAACATAAAGGATGCAGCTGAAGCAGCGCTGGGAGGGAAATGTATAGCTCTAATGTTTTTATTTAAAAAGATCTCAATAACCTAGCTTCATTTCACCTTATGAAATTAGAAAAAGAAGCAAACTAAACCCAAAGGAAGCAGACAGAGGACATAATAAAGATTAGTACAGAAATAAGTGAGTTAGAGGGCACCTGGGTGGCTCAGTCAGTTGAACATCTGCCTTCATCTCAGGTGGTGATCCCAGAGTCCAGGGATTGTTTCCTGCATCAGGGTCTCTGTTCCATGGGGAGTCTGCCTCTCTCTCTCTCTCTCTGCCCCTCCCCTCATTCTCTCTCTCAAATAAATAAATAAATAAAATCTTTTCTTAAAAGAAATAAGTGAGTGAGGAAATAGAAAAACAATAGAAATCAGTGAAACCAGAAGTCGGTTCTTTGTTTTTTAAATTTTTTTTTTAATTTTTATTTATTTATGATAGTCACAGAGAGAGATAGAGAGAGAGAGGCAGAGACACAAGCAGAGGAAGAAGCAGGCTCCATGCACCGGGAGCCCGACGTGGGATTCGATCCCGGGTCTCCAGGATCGCGCCCTGGGCCAAAGGCAGGCGCCAAACCGCTGCGCTACCCAGAGATCCCTGTTTTTTAAATTTTTTTAATTTGACAATATTTGACACACAACATTATATTGGTTTCAGATGAAAAGTTGGTTCTTTGAAATAACAAAATTGACAAATATTTAGCTAGATTGACCAAGGAAAAGAGATGTCTCCCCACTACTCTCGCTCTTTCCTTCTCCCCTTCCACTTCTCTTCCTCTCTCCCTTTCTTCTCCTTTCCCTCCACCTCCTCCTCCCCTTCACCTCTTCTTCCCCTCCCTCTTCCTCCCCCACCCCCTCAGGTTAATGAGAATGACAGGGAACTGAGAAAAGAGAAACCACGGATTGAAAGTATGATGGCTGGGGCAGTAGCAAGTTAAAATAGGTATTTATTTTGTTCTCCCTGCTTGAAGCAACATATCCCTCAATGCCCTGGTTAGAGTTTCAAGGGCACCTAGATCCAGGGGAACATGATTCTGATTAGTAGAAGCAGAAATATAAAAGAGAGGACATTACTACCAACCTTACATAGGTAAAAGCATTATAAAAGAATAATATGAACAATTGTTTCCAATAAGTTATACAACTTAGGTGAAATGGACAAATTCCTAGAAAGACACAACTACTGAAACTGACTCAAGAAAAACAGGAAATCTGAGCAAACCTATAACAAGTAGAGAATTAGTAACCAAATACCTACCCACAAAGAAAAGCCCAGGCCTATTTGGTGAATTCTACAAAACAAAAGAAAAATTTCTTCAGAGACTCTTTCAAAGATAGGAAAGGAGGGAACATTTCCCAACTAATTCTGTAAGGCCAATACTACCTCAATATCAAAACCGGTCAAAGACATCATCAGAGAGCAGCCCAGGTGGCTCAACAGTTTGGCACCGCCTTCAGCCCAGGGTATGATCCTGGAGTCCCGGGATCAAGTCCCACGTCGGGCTCCCTGCATGGAGCCTGCTTCTCCCTCTGTCTCTGTATCTCTCATGAATAAATAAACAAAATCTTTAAAAAAAAAAAAAAGACATCATCAGAAAAAGAAAATGACCAATATCTCTTATGAACATAGATGCAAAAGCCCTCAAAAATACACTACCAAATTGAATCCAACAGTATATAAAAATAATTACACACCATGACTAAGTGGGATTTATATCAAGAATGCATGGTGTTTCTAATACCTGAAAATCAATTAATGTAATACACCACATTAACAGAATCAAAACCAAAAAATCACATGGTAATCTCAACAGATGCAGAAAAGCATTGGGAAAATCAAAGACCCTTTCATGGCAAAAGTACTCAACAAACAAGGAATGTAAGGGATCTTCTCCAACTTGATAAAAGAAATCTAAAACACACACACACACAACTAACTGGCATCATACTTCTTGATGAAAAAAAAAATGGATGCTTTTCTCCTAAGATCAAGAACCAGACAAAAATGTCTATTCTTGCCACTTCTATTTAACATTGTGCTGGAGGCTCTAGCTAGGGCAATTAGACAAGAAAAAGTAATAAAAGATATCCAGGTTGAAAAGACAGAAGTAAAACTATCTCTAATTTCAGGTGACAGGATCTTGCATATAGAAAAATCACAAGAAATCCACTAATTATTACCACTACGAAATTATTTTTGGTAAGATTGCAGAATGAGAGATCAACATAGAGAAATCAATTGTATATCTATACTCTAGCAGTTAACATTCCACAAGTGAAATTAAGAAAACAGTTCACATTTACAATGTCATCAAGTGTCCAGAAGTAAACACAGTGGGTTGATTTTTGATGAAGATGCTGAGGCCAATCAAAGGGAAAAGGATCATCTTTTCAACAAATTATGCTGGGACAACTAAATAGCCACTTGTGAAAGAACACAGTTGAAATTTTACCTCACACCATACAGAAATATTAATTAAAAATGGATCATGGGCCTAAATGTAAGAGCTAAAGGATAAAACTCTTAGAAAAAATAGAAGCAAATCTTCACAGCCTGAGTTAGGCAGTGGTTTTTAGACACACACCAAAAGTGCAAGTGAAAAAAAAAATGGACTACATCAAATCTAAAAACTTTTGTGCTACAAAAAATATCTTTAAGAACGTGAAAATATAACTTTTTCTCAAATAAAAATGTAACAAGAGAATGGGAGGAAATACTTACAAATTGTATATCTGATCAGAGATTTATATGCAGAGTGCATAAGGAATTCCTACCACTCAATAATAAAGACAAGCAACCCAATTTAAAACTGGGCAGAGGTTTTTTTTTTTTAATAAATTTATTTTTATTGGTGTTCAATTTGCCAATATATAGAATAACACCCACTACTCATCCCATCAAGTGCCCCCCTCAGTGCCCATCACCCAGTCACCCCCACTCCCTGCCCATCTCCCTAGTTCCCTAGTAGAACCACCCCTAGTTCGTTTCCCAGAGTTAGGAGTCTCTCATGTTCTGTCTCCTCTTCTGATATTTCCCACTCATTTTTTCTCCTTTCCCCTTTATTCCCTTTCACTATTTTTTATATTCCCCAAATGAATGAGACCATATAATGTTTGTCCTTCTCCGATTGACTTATTTCACTCAGCATAATACCCTCCAGTTCCATCCACATCGAAGCAAATGGTGGGCATGGGCAGAGGTTTTGAATAAACATTTTTCAATACACAAATGGCCAATATGCACATGAAATGATGTTAACATCATTAGTCACTAGCGAAATACAAATCAAAACCACACTTCCCACCCACTCAGATGGCTATAATGAAACAGACAGAAAACCACAAGCATTGACAAGGATATGGATAAATTAGGACCCTCATACATTGCTAGCAGGAATGTAGATTGTTGCAGTTTGGCAATTCCTCAAGATGTTAAAGATGGGCTTTCCAGGTAGTTCAGCAATTCCACTTCTCTATATCTGTCTGCCCAAGGGATGTAAGAACATAGATATAGGGGTACCTGGGTGTCTCAGTCAGTTAAACAACTGCCTTCTGCTCAGGTCATGATCTTGGGGTCCTGGGATCAAGCCCTATTCAGTGGGAGTCTACTGTCCCCTCTGCCTCTGTCCCTCCCACCTTCCCGCTCTGTCTCATGCTCTCTCTCTCAAATAAATTAATTAATTAAGAAAATCTTTTAAAAAAAAACTTACATCTACACAAAAACCCATACATGAATCTTCATAGCAACATATTTTATAGAAGCCACCCACCCAAATGTTCACCAATAGATGGATAAACAAGATGAGATGATTTGGGTTAGGGATGATGAAAATATTCTAAAATTAATTGTGATGGTTGCATGACTGTGAATATACTAAAAACTACTGAATTGTACACATTGAATTTTAAAAGGTGAGTTGTATGTTCATGAATTATATCTCAATAAAGTTGTTTTCAAAAAAATGAATGATTAGATCTATATGTATCAACATAGATAAATCTCAAGAAATGTAGAGAGAGAAAAAAACATGTTGAAAAAGGAAACAAGGAAGCATACAATATGATGTCTTTTATGTGAAATTGTAAAACAAACGCAATAGTATATATTGTTTGGGGAAAGATAAATTCTTAGTAAGATATAAAAACTTGGATGGAAAGGATATACTCCAACTGCAAAATTTCTCCTCTCTATAAATAATTTTTTTTAAATTTTATGGTTTATTTGTCCACTGTTTATGTGTAGTGTATAAAGAAATATATATCTATGTTTGTATCCTTTCCTTTCTTAAATAAGAGGTAAAAGACCGTATGTACTTTGCTCTACTTTCTTTTTAACTCAACAATATATTCTAGAGATCACTCTAAAAGAGTTTATGGAGCTATTCCAGGGAGGCTCCTTTATTAACCTTGTTGGGGCTTCTGTCCAAAAGGAGGAGGGCCAGAGATGGATGACTATATGGAGACATTGAAGGATGAGGAGGATGCCCTGTGGGAGAATGTGGAGTGCAACCGGCACATGCTGAGCCGCTACATCAACCCAGCCAAGCTCACCCCCTACCTGCGCCAGTGTAAGGTCATTGATGAGCAGGATGAAGACGAAGTACTCAATGCGCCAATGCTGCCCTCCAAGATCAACCGGGCAGGTAAACCTTAGGAGCCGCCCAGGAGGAAAGAGTGGGCGACCTCTTGTGGCAGCTTCACAAAATACCTTGTAGTTGGCTCAACCCAAATGAAGTTTCTCCACGACGGAAATTTTCAAATGGGGGTCCACCAACTTCTACCCACCCCTGTTCCCCCCACCAAGCTCTCTGCGTATGGAACTGAGAGGGTCCATGCATTTGGATGGGGAGAAATTATATCTTTATCTACTAACCTAAACCGAGATTTAGCGTTTCCATCAATTATGAATGTAGGTAGGCGACGGATCACAGTAGGGATTAGCAATTCCTGTGACTTTGTCAATAACGAAATCACAGATATCTCCATACCACATTACAGCTGTTACACATCTTCCAAAATATCATTTACACTCATCTCACCCTCAAAATTTTAGTAGTTATTAGACCTGCCAAGAGATTGTGTTATTAATGCATTAGTAAAGAAGCACTTTTATTACTGAATCTCAAATGTAATATTTGATAACGGCATCTTTTTAGAATTGATTCCCTTTATAATCCAATTTCTTTTTATCTGTTTAAAAATATTATTCTGAGAAGGGGTCCACAGGCTTTTCCAGACTGTCTAGGGATCCATGACACTTTATCCCAATCTTCAAAGGTAGTAAGTGTGGTTTGTAAAACTTGTTTTGGTTTCATATACATATGTGTGTATACACGCGCATCTGTATTTGCATCTCTGTGTATAGGCACGAGGTCACAATGTAAACCTCTATTTCATACTGTGGCTCACAGTTGAAAAGGTTTGAAAATCACTTCCCTACAGTCTGACTGGTGATAAGTAGCTCATATGCTGTGACTCTCTTTTGCATACATAACAGACATCACTAATCACAGCTTGCTTTCCTACTGAGCTCGGATATAACTTCAGAATCCTCCACACAGTGCTCCAGGCAGCCTCGCCAAACAGCCCGTTAACACAAGATGAAACTTATTTATTAGATCTACCCTGGGACCTCCAGGGGAAAAAAATATATGAAAATAAAGTTTTTGAGGGAGGGCCAAGAAATGTAAAGGGTTAGTGGAACTAGCGTAACAGAAACCAAAAACACCAGGCAAATTATATTTAGGTTAAAGATGTTTCTGGACTCTGAGATAATCCCCAAGATCATGGAGCTGTGCCTGCTTCCCATGACTTTTCCTAGCTCTCCACCCCAAGATTTGTCTTCCTGCTCTGAGTCTCAGAGAACCGTACATTATTCTGTAATTGCTATTAAACGTCCAGCCTCCTTCGACCGCAGAAGAGCTGGTGCCCGTATGGTTAATTTCAGCCCTGGCCAGTCGGGAAGCTCTTTGAAACTGTTGGTTTCCTATAACTGCTACTTCATTTATCTTGGTTCTACCAATTTCTTAGAGAAAGGAAAACTAACAGCTACTGAATCCCTGTTGAGGGCCTGGCACTTTGGTTTATATTATCTGGACTCCCAGATACCACTCTCGATCGACAGAATGTGGTGAGACTTGTCTTCTTAGAGTTTATTGGGGGATAACAGTCCAGGATAAGACCAGACATGGAGACTTGCATCCAATCAACAGTGTACTCTTCTTCTCACCGGGTGATTTCCATTCCCCTAGGCCGATTATTGGACATTCTACATACAAAGGGCCAAAGGGGCTATGTGGTCTTCTTGGAGAGCCTGGAATTTTACTATCCGGAACTGTACAAACTGGTGACTGGAAAGGAGCCCACCCGGAGATTCTCTACCATTGTGGGTAAGTGGCTTTGCCATCCGAGGCATTTGAACACTGGCAGGAGGGTGTGTGCCTGTCCAGTGGTGAGACAGTTTTCAAGCTATGAATCTATGATGTTAGGACAGTGTCCCTGTGGCACTTTTGGGCTGTCAACCACTCATTTCTGCCTGATGATCAAAGGTAGGTGACAGAGGCGAGCCAAAGTAGGAGCCAGGAAAAGTGGGTGTATGCATAACATCCCCCACGAATGTTGGTGGGGTGGAACAGAAATTCGTGCTACCCTCTGGATCCTGTCCTGGCCTTGCCCGCCGTCTTGCCAGTACCCCTGAGCCAGACCGTTGATAGCCTCATCTCGACTTAACTTCCTAAATATTCCTGAATCGGCCTTCTCTCCCATCTCCACCACTGTCCTGGTCCAGACTCCTCCAACCCCATCTGCCCTATATCCGTTCCTGCTCTGCTCCAATGCTCGCTCCACCCTCCATGTTACCCTCCCTGCTAAAAACCTTTGGTGGTTTTCCACCTCATCCAACTAAACACCCATGTCTTCAATGGAGCCCACAGGAACCCTACCATGGTCCAGCCCCTGCTGACCCTCCCAGCTTCCCCCTTCTGCCTCTCCATCTCTCTGGACCCCAGCCACTCTGGTCTTCCTTCAGCTTCTAAAAGGTGCCAAGTTCCTACTTGCTCCCTCTAGGGCTTTGACCATATCTTTCCACCTTCCTAGAACGTGTTTTCCCTCCTCAACATTTGAGCTCAACCATCAGGAGCCTTGGAACCTGTCTGCCCAGCAGGCTGGATCTGGCCCCCTGCTGCCCACATCCTTAGCTCCTGCGCCTTTACTTGGCAAAATACTCACCATCTGTAGTTCTGTTTGTGTGTGATCATGTGCCCAGGGCCTGGAGAGCTCAGTGCCATGTTGATGTGTGAGTGAGTGAATGAATGACTCCCGCCCCACACCTGGGGCCCTCTTTGCTTTCCCCCTCCACGGGCTTGACGGGGCACCCCCTCTCCACAGTGGAGGAGGGCCATGAGGGCCTCACACATTTCCTCATGAACGAGGTCATCAAGCTACAGCAGCAGATGAAGGCCAAGGACCTGCAGCGGTGCGAACTGCTGGCCAAGTCACGACAGCTGGAGGACGAGAAGAAGCAGCTGACGCTGACACGGGTGGAGCTGCTGACCTTCCAGGAGCGGTACTACAAGATGAAGGAGGAGCGCGACAGCTACAATGATGAGCTGGTCAAGGTGAAGGATGATAACTACAACTTGGCCATGCGCTACGCCCAGCTCAGCGAGGAGAAGAATATGGCCGTGATGCGGAGCCGAGACCTCCAGCTCGAGGTGAGCGGCCTGCACCGGGGGTGCTGCTGGGACTCGGGACCATCCTGTGAGCAGGTGCATGCAGGCACACACAGGCCACCAGAGCTGCTCACTCAGCTGGGTGAGGAGAGTGGGGGACACAGATCTTGGGGGGCACCTAGACCCACTGTGCATGTGTGCATGCCAACACAGAGGCTTAGCATGACTGCTGAGGGCCCAGGGCCACCATGTGTGTGTGTGGACATGTGTACATGGAACCTTGGGGGGGGCCACTTGCTCAGGACCCAGAGCCACCATGTACATTGTGCAGATGTGCACACATGGACCCAGTGGTTATTCCCACCACCTGCTCAGGACCAAGAGCCACCATGTGAGTGTGCAGACATGTACTCATAGCCCCTCTGCAAAGCCAGGTGAGGGGGAAGATGGAGAACCCAGGGGCCCAGACCGCGAGTGACCCTCAGGAAAATCAGCGAGGAGATGAACACACTTGTTCTGTGGAGACCTTCTCAACTGTATCCACAAGGCTCAGCATGGCACTGTGGGACTGTCGATGTACTTATCAATGAACAATCCACCAGCCAAATGATTGATGTCATTAATGAGTTTATCTCCAAAATGGAGAACGAGAGGGGAATTTGCTTAACTCATTCATCCCTTTTATTTATCGAGTGCCACCGTACACCAGGCTCTTTTCCAGGGATATATAACTCAGGATCAAGGCCCTGCTGTCATAGAGCTCACATGCTAATCAGAAAACAAATATGTAAGCACCTGGTAGTAATAAGTGCTATTAAGAAGAGGGAAGGAAGAAGGATGGGATTAGCAGGTGAGGGATCCTACTTTAAGAGGATGGTCAGGAAGGGTCTCTAAGAAGGGGACATGTGAGAAGAGGTCCGAGGTTAGGGAGGGAGCCAAAGTGCAAGGCTCAGGGGAAGAGCAAAGGAAAGCCCCCAAGTCAAGGGTATGCTTGGTGTTTTGGGGAACCATCAAGAGAGCCAGTGGGGCTGGAGCCAAATGAGCAAGTGGCACAGAGAAATGGCCAAGGTCCAGATCATAAGGGCATGGTAAGAACTTCGGAATTTATTCCAGTTGTGATGGGAAGGCACTGAAGGATTGAGAGCTAGAGAGTGACAGCTGATTTATATCTAGAAGGATTACTCTGGCTGCTGGGTGGAAAATAGAATATTTATTAAGCACCTGCCAGATATAAGGCATAGTGCTAAGCACTGTGGGGGACACAGGGATAAATAACCCGATTTCTGCTCAGGTCACTTACAATTTAGTTGAAGCAGACAGATCAGTAAACAATCCACTCGAATTCAGGTGAATTGAGTCAGTGGCGTAGTGGGCAGTAGAGCATTTTTGTCAAGAGCACGAGTTTTTAAATCCTACGCATCTGAGTTCAAATTTGACTTCCGGCTTCTGGCTTTTCCGCTTAGTTGGCTTTTGGCCTGTTTACTCATTTGTAAATGGCAAACATGGAAAATAATTCCCGTGCCCCAGGGCTGCTGAGACACAGCATCATGATTTGGGCAAAGTCAAGGCTGACCCGGTAAGCACTCCATAGCGCTGGCAGTCCATGCCCACTTAGATGCGACAGAGGATCTGGACCCAGTACGGAACACGGGCTGACCTTCCAAGATGCCAAGGAGGATTTTTTTTTTTTTTGGCATGACCAGGAGGAGAGGTTTCTGTGCTGTTGTAGCTAGGATTTGGAGAAGTTAGCCTGTGGCAGTCACTTACATGTTTCTCTCCTAGGACTGTGTCCTATATTCCCTGATGATATAGTGAGAAGCATGTCTAGAACTTGAAAGAATATCTGGCCAGCTGAGTCCCCAGGCTGCCTCCGTGCCTGCCTCTTCCTTCCTTTCCTTCCACAGGGGCCCAGTGGCAATACGTTCTGTGCTAAAGCCACCACCCTCTGGCTGCCGGGTACCTTGCACTTGTTCTCCCCATGAGCCTAGAATTGTACAAAGGCGCTCACCTCTTGGGTGCCTCCCTTTCTTGCAGCCCTTGAAGACAGTTTTGAGGTGGGTGTTCTGTGAGGTCAGTTTGGGGAAGCAGACACATTTAGGCACAAAGGTCTAAGAAGTCTTCTCCTAGGCCCACTTCCTGACATTCACCTCTCCAGGACGGACCTCAGCACATCTCCACTTGTCACATTTCCCAACGTAGTAACTGCCTCCTCCGGGAAGCCACTCTTCCAGCCCTGAGTGTGGGTCCTTTAGGCCAGAGATACTGTGAACCCAGAGGGCCTCACACTGTCCTTTACACAGCAGTACGGTTTGTCCGGATAGAATTCTGTGGGAAACCCACAAGGACAACACTGTGCCAGAGGCTCTGGGGTAAAGCCAGGTCATGGGGCCCAGAACTCCAAGCTCTCAGCCACCTCACTCCCTGTGATAACATGAGTTCTTAAGGGGAGTCCCCGAGGGAATTCTCTATAGCACCTTTCAGAATTATCCTCAATTAACGAATCAAAGATGATGGCACTTTGTTTTACTGCAAAAGGTTTCTTTGAGCTCTTCACTGCAGCTAACTGGAAGAATAGGTGTGGGCATCACAGGTTTTGTGGGGAGTCTGCTGGGGATCCAGGGGAGCATTGCCTTTCCTGAATGTTGCCTGCCAACTGTATTGTCCCCGTGGCACCCTTGGGCATTTCAGATTGACCAACTAAAGCATCGGTTGAATAAGATGGAGGAGGAGTGCAAGCTGGAGAGGAACCAGTCTCTAAAACTAAAGAATGACATTGAGAACCGGCCCAAGAGGGAGCAAGTTCTGGAACTGGAGCGGGAGAATGAGATGCTGAAGACCAAAATCCAGGAGCTACAGTCCATCATCCAGGTGAGGGCCAGGGCAGGGCAGTAGATGGAAGGGGCGGTGAGGGTCTGGGGGCAGACCCTGCCTCGGCCTGTGTCCCACTTGCTGACTGTGTGGCCCACGGCAATTCACGTCATTCCTGCCCCCTCTGTAAAGTAGGGTCACCACTGCACCCCCTCGTCAGAGACATGACATGTGAGCTAACACTTGCGATGCCACAGAATCACTGCCCCAGGCTCTGTGAGACAGAGACAGCCGGGACACCTGTTTGTCCTTAAAGATCCCAAGAAATTCACCTCTCAGCTCCGCGTGATTTGTTAAAACCACAAGTGCCTCCCTATATTTCCCATCACAGACTCATTTTCGGGTATGAAGGAGGAAGTAGCTGAGAAATAACAGCCCCGAACACATCTACGGGGAAAGAAAAAAGGCTTCCCTCCCCTTCCTCCAGAACAATTCCCCCAGGATTGGCTGCCTGGCATTTGAGGTGCGGATTTGGAGCAGAGAATGAATCCCGGGTTAATCGAAGCAGATTAATTGATATTTCAGGGGATGCATCTGGACGGCAGATCAGCCCTCTCTTTGTTGTCACCTACAAAGTGTTTGCAGGAGCAGCAACTGCTTCTCTCGGCTCTGATAAGAGCAGGGGCAGAACAATAGGCGTCGGGATGTTCCTGAGCAGAAGTGGGTTTTATGCTTCTTTCCAGGTGATAAAATTCTTAAATAATAAGCTGCTTAAGGACCCCGAGAGGCAGCGACTCTTTCTCTGCTTCCCTAGCACAAAACCTTCTGCTCTCACAGAGCATTTGTCACTGGCTCTGTTGTCCCCTGCCTTCCGGGGCCACCTGGCTCCCTGCCCCACCACACCCCCAGCATGGTCAACCCTTCCTGTCCACCCACCCAGGCCGGGAAGCGCAGCCTGCCCGACTCGGACAAAGCCATCCTGGACATCCTGGAGCATGACCGCAAGGAGGCTCTGGAGGATCGGCAGGAGCTGGTCAACAAGATCTACAACCTGCAGGAGGAGGTCCGCCAGGCAGAGGAGCTGCGGGACAAGGTGGGAGCCCCCGGATGGAGGAGCAGCATTCCCCCAACCAGTGCCCTTGGGTTTCTGTGCACGGATGTGCATTAGCAAGATCTCCCCGGCCCCCACTCTCTTCAGGGGACTAGGTTTCAGCATGGCACAGATGCCCCATGCGTGCCGGCAGGAGCACCTGGCTGTGCATTATTGTGCCCCCTAGCATCTGCTTCCCCTCCTAACTGCAGGCCACATGAGGGGACACAGTGTCTGCCCTGACCCGCTCCCCATCCCCCGTTGCACACAGTAGGTGTAAAGCAAATCTCAGCCAATTGACTGACCTACAACTGTGGCCCTGCTCTTCAGAGAGCTGATTCTCAGAAGGACATGCGAAGGAAGGAAGGGACAGGCCCACAGGGAGGCTGGGCTGGAAAGCTGCTGGCCCCGATCCATCTCTCCCCATTGCTTACAGTACCTGGAGGAGAAGGAGGACCTGGAGCTAAAGTGCTCAACGCTGGGCAAGGACTGTGAGATGTACAAGCACCGCATGAACACCGTCATGCTACAGCTAGAGGAGGTGGAGCGTGAGCGGGACCAGGTACGAGCAGGCATCTGAAGGTCGTGGGGGCCTGAACCGGGCCCCACTGGCTCCTACGACAGAGCATCATCCTTCGATACCTCTCTAGGGTCACAGCTACATGCAGGCTGGGTCACTCATCAGAGGTGTGGCTGCAGGCTAGCTCTACCCCGTGGACGCCTCACAGCCCTCTTCTGTAAGATGGAAGTGATAAGACAGCATCACCTGCTAGGGGCAAGGGGCAGGCTCCAAGAGATTCCACCCTAGGACTCTCAGTATAGGGCCCAGCCCCTGGCAAAGGCAGGACACACAGCAGCTGTGGTATGTACTCTCAGGAAAGGTAGTGATTTTTTTTTTTTTTTAAGATTTTTATTTATTTTCCCATGAGAGACACAGAGAGAGAGGCAGAGGCAGAGGGAAAAGCAGGCTGCATGCAGGGAGCCCATTGCAGGACTCAATCCCAGGACTCAGGGATCACGCCCTGAGACAAAGGCAGACACTCAACCACTGAGCCACCCAGGTGCCCTGCAGGTAGCGATTTAAATGCCCAGGAGTAGGGGTCAAGAAAAGAGCAGGAGCCAATGTGGCCAACCCTGGGCATCCAGACAGAGACCACATCCTGGGTCTGATTTGGTTGGGTCGGGGTGAAGAAGCAAAGTGGCCTCATCCTCCCCTCCCTGGCAGGCCTTCCATTCCCGGGATGAAGCACAGACCCAATACTCACAGTGCTTAATCGAGAAGGACAAGTACAGGAAGCAGATCCGAGAGCTGGAGGAGAAGAACGATGAGATGAGGATTGAGATGGTCCGGCGGGAAGCCTGCATCGTCAACCTAGAGAGCAAGCTCCGGCGTCTCTCCAAAGACAGCAGTGGCCTGGACCAGGTGGGCCCGGGGTGGGGATGAGGGGGCAGCGGGGCTGAACAAGGCCCCCACACCTGCAGCTGGGTGCCTCCCCACACTGCTGAAGTGTCCCCATGCCTGTGCGGCGGCCTTGCCCTAACACACCCAGAACAACCCATATCCTTGACCCTCCTGCTCGTCCATAAATTTTGCACGATGAATTTTGAATTTGGAAAATGCAAAACCCCATCCTGGCCACTTGCTAGCCAACTTTAGACAAGTCACTTCACCAGGTAGCCTCAGCTCCTTCTTAGTTGACCATGGCCACCTGTTAACGTCCCACCCTGCTGACCAGTGGCTGCCACCACCATGTGGATGGTTACTGGTATCTGATGCCCACTGAAGCCCTAGCACCTATGAGGACACTGTCCTTTACGGACTGCACGATACTTAATACATGTCACTGTGTAAGCCCCAAGGGCTCATGAGTGGATGCTGACATCAGAGCAGATGAGGTTACCGTCAGCGTAGCTGTGCATTTGAGTGCTGTCACACATGGGTATATGCTCAGTGCCTTCTGTGCATGAGCTCCTGCCCACAGAACTGTCCCACCAGGAAGGTACGATTACTGTCCTCAATTACCAAGGAACCCTGACCCTAGCAGCTGAGGGCATGGCTGATCAAGGCCTGCAGAGGTCAGGCCCTCAGAGACTCAAATTTACCGCTGGAGATTAATCCAGGAATGTGACATTTCAGCACAGTGTTGTGCGTGAAAGCTGGGTTTGGGTCATGGGGTCCCCGGGGGCCAGGGCCTTGGCTCTGGCAGGGTTTTAGGAAAGACTCCCTCCAGAGAGGCTCAGGACTGTGTGGGAACCTCTGCTTGCAGTGCTGTCCCTGGCTCTGCTCAGCCCCTGTAAAGGAAACTGGAAGCTTCTGCATTATGCTGTCAACCCTTTGAACATTTATTGTTTGCAATTATGCAGAAGCTCCAAGAAGGCCGAGCCCTAGCAGGGGGCCAGGCTTTGGGTAGACCCTCAGGGAGCATTTGCTCCAAGGAGAGATGAAAGCTATGGGGGCATCTGTCCTGGGTAAGGGAAGATGGGGCCAAGTTCTGGGCCCAGGACAGCCTGAGCAAGGTCCTGTGGGCGTGACACACAGCATGCTGGCGGCAGGCCACAGTGGGTGGTTCTGCTGTCAATGGAGTAGAAGGCAGGGCGGGGCAGGTGATGCACCCCGAGGGGTGACAGCAGGTAGCAGAGTCGGCTTGTGGGCTAAGACCCTTAGTTGTTCTTCTGGGACCTTGGTGCATTTTGTGCAGGGAAGTAAGGCAAAGAGCTTTGGGTTTGGAGGCAGCAGCACAAAGGTTGTGTGATTTGGGGGGCAGCTTGCCCTGAGGCCACTGGTAGAGAGCACCAGGACGGTAGGCTCCCATGTGAGGACAGAGATGGTCACACCATCATTCAGCGACAGGTTCTGCTTTTGGAGCTCAGGCCCAGAACTACATCTGGGAATATGAAGGCAGCATGTCCGACCCCGGGGCCCAAGAACCCCCCAGGGGCCATCACCCTGCTGCTGTGAGCATGACAAAGAGGGAGGAGACAGGGACAGGGAGGTTGGTGACGAAGAGCAGGTGGTGCTAGAAGCGTGAACTGGGCATCCAGTGGGAGGTGGTGCTAGAACCATGTACCTGGGCTTCAGGGGTGGCAAGGGACACGGGGGTCAAGAAGAAGAGTGGGTGTCCTGAGTTTGCAGCTGGAGGCCCCCGGGAAGGCTAGCCCGCCCCCCGTAGCTGCTGGCCACGCTGCCTCACTGGTGTCTGCCTCTCTCCCAGAGTCTGCCCAGGAACCTGCCGGTGGCCATCATCTCCCAGAACTTTGGGGATGCCAGCCCCAGGACCAACGGGCAGGAAGCTGACGACTCATCTACCTCAGAGGAGTCGCCGGAAGACAGCAGATACTTCCTGCCCTACCACCCGCCCAAGCGCAGGATGAACCTGAAGGGCATCCAGGTGCGGAGGGCGGCCGTGGGCGGCTGGCGGGCGCGGGCCCGATGGGACTCCGACAGCTCCGGCCCCATCTGGGGAGGTCCCGCCAGCCCCAGCTTTTCCCTCGTTTGCGTTAACAAATTCTGCCCCCATCGCTCATAAGCGTAGCAGAAGTTAGAGAGAGAATGAAGTAAGCGTTATTTCGAAATCCGTTCATTTATTCAGCAAATAGGTATTGAGTGTCTCTCCTGTGTTTATTGACGCTGATGGCTTGTGAGAGGCCCGCTGGGGAGCTGGACTTACAGCAGCAATCCTGTCCGCTCCGCTCAGCGTCCGGGGCTGCCCAGCACTCAGTCTCCACGAGGAATGAATGCACGAGATAATCTCACATGAGAGGGGCCGGGCAGCTCAGGGAGGGTCCCCACCCCACCCTGGCAAGGGCCGCCTCATGCCAGGGAAGGGTGGCCAGGGCAGCTGCCCAAAAGCCTCATGCTTTCCAGAAAATACCCCTGCGTCTGCATTGTGTATGCAGTTCTGCTGGGCCTCATGCCCACACGTGGTCCTTCCTCCATGGACTGTGTTTCCGGCCTTGTCTGATTTGTCCCCTCTGTCCTTGGTCCTCTCTTCCCTCTCACAGCTACAGAGAGCCAAATCCCCCATCAGCCTGAAGCGAACCTCAGATTTCCAAGGTTGGTGCACTCCCAGACCCTCTCCTGTCTTTCCGTCTGCCTCTCCCCATCCTTTATTTCCAATGGGGCAGTCAATCCTGTGCAGTCAACCTGGGACAGGCCTGGGGGCCCCAGGTGGAAGGGTGTCCAATAGAAGTTAACAGTCATTGTCACAGGACAGGGCAGGAGCTGCAATGTAGAAAGGTCCCAGCTGTGCTACACACACACACACACACACACACACACACACACACACACACACACTGAGATCAGCCCTGAGCCCCTGATACCTCAGCTGGACTCAGTGCTTCTGCTCTGGCTTAGCAGAAGGCTGGCCTGACCTTCCTTCCAGGCTTTTGGCCAGGCAGTCTGGGTCCATCTGTGAGCCCCTGGTTCTCCAAGACACAGCATCTTCAGAATCCTTGTCACTCATCCTCACTGTGACTCTTGGGTGACAGTTGGCTAGGGATGGTTTGCCTGGGTAAATCAAGCACCTACTGTGTACCAGGTGCCAATAGGTCCATGTGGATGCCCAGAGCGACTCCTGAGACAGGGCCATCAGTGAAGAGGTAGCAAGTGGCTCTGGACACCCAAGAAAGAGCAGAGGGAAGAGGGCTGGAGAAAGATCCATCAGGAAGGGACATAGTCTCTGGAAGGGCACTCAGGATAGAATGGGGTACGGGGGCAGGTTTGAGGAGCATGGCATGCTGCTATTCTAGAGGTCGGAGCAGGGAGTGCCAGGAATGAGGCTACAGAAGGTCACAGGGAAGGAGCTACACCCTGACAGTGTGCATCCCTCCTGGGTCCACAATGGGGCAGGGGAAGGAGGAGTCCTTGGACCTGCTGGAGGCCAGAGGAAGAGCATATGGGGACAATGGAGCCCAGGGTTGGGGGTCCACCCATCCCTCTTATTGCCAGATCAAGTATCTATAGCACCTTCTTTATCAGAAGGGATGTGTAAAGGCCCTGCGGCCTGTGGGAAGTAGAGAAGTGTTTGCCCCAAGAAGAGGGAAAGGAGGCAGCAGGGTAATGGAGCTTCTGGACTCTCCCCAAGCCTTTGCCATTGTCCAGCTTGAGATGCCCACAGATTATGATGTGTGTGTGTGTCTGACGGTCCATGCACAAGGCACAGGGGGCCGGGTGGGAAAGCTGGCTCTCCTGTGCAGCAAGGCAAGAGCTGAGAGAAGTGTGCGCAGAACCCCAGATGGCCCCTGAAAGAGCAGGAGGGTCACCGGGAGCTTTACTGAGGAGGCCACAGACTCTGCCACGATTGGCCCAGTCTCCAGTCGGCCTGTTTCATAGAAAGGGTGGGATCCGTATTGAGGATGGGGTTGCTGGGCAGGGACGTTTCTACTCTATGAGAGACACATGCTCCCAGTTCCTGTTGTTCCACAGAGTGTCGGGGGGGGGGGGGGCCCGCCTGAGTCCTCGGAGACAAAGGACATGGCCCAGCCTCTGCAGAGGCTGCCCCAGGCCCGGCTATGGCAGGATGCACCCGTGTACAAGACCGGGCTCCCTTCTGGGAGCCTACAGCTGGGGAACCCAGAGGAGGGAGGAGGGTGTCCCCACGCTCCCCCCAGGAGGACAGGCCACCCAGACAGGACAGCACCCAGGTGCTCGGTGCCCACAGGAGCTCTTCATCCCCTCTTCCCTGCCTTTCCCTTTGCCTCCTGCCTCCATGAGGACAGGGCGAGGCCACGAAGAAGAAGGCATAGACGCCAGCCCCAGTTCCTCCAGATCCCTGCCCATCACCAACTCGTTCTCCAAGATGGTAAGCCAGGGCCCCAGCATGTCCCCTTCCAGCTCCGACCTGTGCCCACCCCCACGCTCGCTCACCGTCCTCCGCCCAGCAGGCTGGGCCCCCTGCTTTACTCTCTGCGCCGGGCCGCGAGCAGCATCACTCTGGGGCTGCAGCCCAGACCCTCCTTATGTTTATTTAAAGATGTTTCCACCAGCTCACGATGTATTTACACCTTCTCGCCGCCTCCTTTCCCAATTTAACACTTGGTGGGAGGAACGGATGGGCCTCTGAGGAGCGGAAGTGAACTGCACAGGCGGCGGCTGAAAATTCTGCTGCAACTTGGGGGCCCTGGGCACCTCGGGCAGCCCGGCTGGCGCTGCTGAGCCCGAGACCACGGACCCCAGCCCCAACCCCCCACCTCCACCTCCCCACGCCCGTGGGGTCCCAGCCCCTGCATCCAGTGTCACTCCCCACAGCCAGGCAGCAGAAGGCATGGGATTAGAAATTCTAACCCCAGAGGCGAAGCCCTGGGAAGCTTGTCAGCTCAGCTTCCAAAATCAGGCCCTGGGGGACACAGAGGTTTGATAAGGAATGGCTCCTGTCTGGTTGCAGCTCTGGGGGGCAAAATCTGAGGCTTTTATTTAAAGCAGCTCTTGCCAAGAGCTGGCAGGCCTCCTCTCAAAGGGTCGTCCTCCAGCAGCCATACCGCCTGGTCAGCATCTGTTGCTGCCACCACCACCAGGCCCACAGGTCCTCTTGTTGTGCAGAGTACGCTGGTCAGCACTGGCTGACGCCACAGCCCAGGGGGCCACGGAGCTCAGCCTGTGCAGGGCACAAGGCACTGCCCTGCCCCCCCACTGCCCCAGCCTTGGCGGACTCCCGTCCGCATCCTCCCCGCCCCCTCCCGAGGTGAGCAGATGTGTGAGCAGATGTGAGCCAGGCTCAACGGCTGCGGCTGCCCCAGGCTGAGCTCAAGCTTTCTCTGGCCAAGGTCGCTGCTGAGAACCAGCTCAAGCAAGTCGGGGGTGGGGATGCATCCGTGTTCAGTTTAGTCCTTGCGTATATAATATTTATGTCTGCGGAGGCACGGGGGTGGGGGTAAACACCCGGCTCCCCATCACACATCTGTGTGTGTTTTGAAGCAGCCCCACCGGAGCCGCTCTAGCATCATGTCCATCACTGCCGAGCCCCCAGGAAATGACTCCATCCTCAGGCGCTATAAAGAAGACGCGCCTCACCGCAGGTGGGTGACAGGGGAGGGAGCAGGGTGCCTGCGGGTGCCTTTCCACATCCACTCACTCAGTCCGTGAGCCAACCTTGAAAGGTAGGCAGGATGCTGCCCACTTTAGAGATGAGGCTGAGGCTCAGAGAAGGCAGGTGGCCTTCCCAGGGTCACCCAGCTAGCTACCAGCTGACTAAGCCTATGTCCATTTGCCCCGAGCTGCCCAGAAATCAGGTTCCCCAGTGCCCAGGCCCCAGGGGGTGGCTTTTTTGCCAAAAAGTGGTAGACCCCAGAAATCGCCTCCCAATTCCTGCGTCCTGTCTCACTTCCTCGCCTCTTGGAAACCATCAGTGTCCCCAGCTGGGAAAACCACAGTGGAGCTCTTCCCCAGACATTCAGATGCTTCCTGTCAGCTGGACATTTGGTGTCTCACACTCAAAGTCAGAGATCACTGGGTGGTTTCCAGAACAGCTGGCAGCATGGAGTGGCCTGCAGGGTGGGATCTGCATCTCTGGTTCTGCCGACAGCCTGGTCTGGGCCTCATTGCTCTATGGCAAGAACCACATGTGAGGAGCACACTGCCACCTCGCCCCCATCCCGTCCTGGGTGAAGGGCCCAGGTGGGGCTGTTGGGGACTCTGTGACCTGCCCTTCACAAGCCTCCTCACTCCGGTTCCCTGGGACACCCTGTCCTCCAGCAGAGCATCCAGCCTTATCCAGCCCTCCTGCCCATGCTGCCCTCTCAAAACCAAGGCCTCTCGGAGAGCTGGAACTTCCCAGAATCTTCCCCCACCTTCAACCAACCACCATATGGCCTGGAGAGCTCCCACGCACACATGCACTCCCCCCCCCCATCACCCCGTCCTTCCCTTGTGTCTTACAGCACAGTCGAGGAAGACAACGACAGCGGTGGGTTTGATGTCTTGGACTTTGATGGTAGGTGCCTGGCAGATCTCAGAGACATACCGGTGTGGGGGCCACCTGCCTTCCAGTGGGGGCAGGGCCACGCCCACCATGGCCCTGACCCTCTAGCTCAGGACAGAGCCCTGTGCCACCTAGGTCCTCAGAAAACATATGTGGCGTGGATTTGGGGAGGGTAGTGCTTGCTGTCTGCACTCGAGAGCAAGGCCTCATCCCTGAAGAGCTGCCGGGTGGGGGTTTGAGAGTGGGGGTACAGCCTGAGGAGCCTGGCTCCTCTGGAGGCAGCAGGGGCCATGTAGCTGCTGAGCACAGAGTCAGGTAGGTCTAGATTTTTAAGAGAGAGTTTAATCAACAACAACTGTTTGCAGAAAGGCTGTTGGGACCCTCCTTTTGCAAATGCAGGCATGGAGCCACAGAAAGCTCAGGGAACAGTGGGATGGGGTGGGTGTAAGGCAGGGAGACAGCCTAAGAATCTTTGTACGAAGCTGTCAACCAACCTGAAAATAACGAGTAGTAGCAGCAGGGAGGGGGATAGGAAATGAGGTGGGCAAGCCCTGGGGAGACCCAAGGGTATGTAGCAATCCTAAAACAGCCCCACGGGCTGTTTGAACTGTGTGATTGTCAGGATATTCCCTGGGCCTTGAACATCTGTACAGAGAGCCAGGAATGGGGGCTCAGTCTCCTGGGAGCCACGGACTCTTCCAATGGGGAGGGGGGGCGTAGATTTGGTTTAGCCCAGCAGACACTGAGCCCCCACACCTCACCTTGCCTGGGGCACAGGACACGAAAACTCACGTCCCTGAGTCCTTGACTTGGCCAACACCCAGGTAGTATAGCTGTGAACCAGTGAATGTACTATCCAGAGCACTCGACTGTGTGCAAAAGACGAAGGGACAGGAAGGGTTCAGAGGCCTCCTGGAGATGCCTCCGTGCCTTGGGTGGCCCCTGTTCCTCCTGAGCTAGAAGCACGGGGCTGGCCCAGACTCCCCGGGTGTGGCCTGCCAGCCCTCTCATTCCCGGGGTTCCCCCAACTCTGCCTCCACCCTCAGCAGCTCAGGCTGCCAGCAGATAAAATGAAGGATTAGCAGCTCTCCCTAATTGGGGACCATCAGAAGCTATCAAGTGTTAAAGAGAGGTTAGCATCTAATAGAGGCTGGGTAATGAGAAGAATTGAAGGAGTTTTGGAAAGGGGAGAGCTCAAAAGAGAATTCTGGGCAGCCATCCAAAGCATTCTGCAGCGTCAGGACAAATTCCCTTTGCAGAGAAGCCTTTGTTATCAGCCCAGAGCCAGGTCTGCACATCCTCCATCCCTGCACCTGGGCCGTGTGGAGTGGGTGTCTTTGCACCAAGTCCTCGGAGTCCTTCCCGCTGAGTTGGGAAGAGGGGGCTCCTATACTCAGTCCAGACTCTGCTCTTTGGGTCCTGCCCCAGTCCACATCCCCAAAAGTGGCAGATGGTAAGACCTCAGGTGGTCCCAAGATGAAAACATGGACCCCAATTCAGAAGCAGAACCGGTGCCTGCTGGTACAGACTCCTTTCCCAGGTATAGAAACAGGAGGCTTGAAAAGCAGATAGCTGGTGAGACTTCCCTTAAGAAGGGACTCCGAGGCAAGGGGATGACTCTGCGGAAGAAGATGCAGTGTAAAGCATCTTCTAGAAGCTTCCTGGCCCAGGCCCAGCAGGAGAACCTCCTGGGAGGGAGGTGGGGAGGGGCAGGGATTGGTCCTCATGTGCACTGGCTCCTTTGCAGATGACAGTCATGAGCGCTCCTCCTTTGGACCCCCATCTGTTCACTCCTCCTCCTCCTCCCACCAGTCCGAGGGCTTGGATGCCTATGACCTGGAGCAAGTCAACCTCATGTTTAGGAAGTTCTCTCTAGAAAGGTACTGTGGTCGTGGGAAAGGGGAGCCAGAGTTGGGAGAAGGGATGGTGGGGTAAAGGCCACTCACCCCCTAGAACTGCCAAAAAGGGACCATCCACCTCCCCTATGTTCTAGAATCAGGAACCACAGTGTCTCAGAACCAGAAACCACTGCCCCCCCGCATCAGGCCCAGAGAGGATGGGGGTTGCCCAGGACCACACAGTGTGGTAGAGGCAAGGGGGTGGCAATGGATGTCCGACTGGCCCCAGCACCCCCCCATGAGATGGGGGAAGCCCTGTGGTCTGTGCCCATAGTGGCCCACCTGGTGTGTGAGGAGGAACAGAGCAGCCAGTGTGCCCTTGTTGGCCCAGCCCACGGGGATGGTCAGCCAGGGTGCAAGCACAGTGTGGCCATGGCCACTGGTTGGAGGACAGCTCAGCATCTTGTGTGCTTTCCCGGCAGGAGCAGGTTGCAAGCTGTCACCTCAGGTGGCTGCTCTTGCAGCTCCCAGGGATGGGATCTCCATGGCATGGCCAGGTAACAGTGTCCTAATCACAGCCACCTAACCACTGTTTCCTTCCCTGACACAGACCCTTCCGGCCATCTGTCACATCTGTGGGGCACGTGCGGGGTCCCGGGCCCTCGATGCAGTACACCACACTGAATGGCGACAGTCTCATCTCACAGCTCACCCTGCTCGGGGGCAATGCACGAGGGAGTTTCGTCCACTCGGTCAAGCCAGGCTCCCTGGCCGAGAAGGCTGGCCTCCATGAGGGCCACCAGCTGCTACTGGTGAGGGGCCGGGGGCTGGGGGAGGTGGTGGCACAACCAGGGTGCCCGGGGTCTTCCCCTACTTCCTCTGCACATGTCCTGGCAGAGGGCACACCCCCACCCCCACCCAGAGGAGGGAGCTGGAGGGAGGCAGGGAGCAGCCCCCTGGCCCTAAGTCTCTCTCCTTCCATCTGAAGGCCCTCACTCCTGTGTCTAGAGCCTGTGCATGCACATGCACACACATGTACACACACCAGTGCATGGGGAGGCAAATGAGTTTAAATGGGATGCTTCCTTTGTTCTCAGGGACATTGAGCTAGTTACTGTTTGGGGAGAAAGGCTTTGGTTTCCCTGTGGGGTGGCCTCACCCCTGCAGCTCTGCCCACCCATGGAGCCGGGAAGAGCAGTGTGTCTTTGATATCTAGCTGGAAGGCTGCATCAAAGGCGAGAGACAAAAAGTCCCCTTGGATACGTGCACAAAGGAGGAGGTGCACTGGACCATCCAGAGGTGCAGCGGCTCCGTCACACTGTACTACAAAGTCAACCAGGAAGGTAAAGCCACCAGACTCAAACATGCGCTCGGCCACGGCCAGCAGGACACCAGATGTGGGTGGGACCAGGGACAAGCATCCTCTGCTGGCTCACCTTTTCAGTGGGAGGAACAAGCCAGGCCCATCCCCGTCAGGAGGGACTGGCAGGACAACAGGCAGGGAAGGGCAGATGAATGCGAGCACAGGTGAGCACACACCTGCCCTGGCACACCTCGGTGTAGATGGCATGCCTGGCCACGTGCGGCCGGCCCCTTCCCTGCCTGGCCTGGCTCACCCCTCCCGCTGCCAGGTTGAAGCTTACTTCCTGGTCCTGACTCAGGCAGGGACTCGGGCTGGCCGCTCCCGCACCAGCAGGTCTGCTGAGCCAAAGCTTGGACCAGGCCTTTTGCTCCGTGGCTGGGCTCCAGAACAATCCCCAGAAGGCCTCACTCCCTTCCCATCTGGCCCCTTCTCTTTCTCAGCCGCAGCTCCCAGGCATTGAGCAGCAGGCTCTGTCTTCCATTTCCCAAAGTCTAAGGCCCCATTCTCACCTCTGGGTTTTTTTCCTGCATGATTATCTCTGCAGCTGGATCTTATTTTTAACCACTAGGGCTCATGAATGTTTCAACAGAGCATAAATAGCCACTTTCTCTCTAGCCACTCCCCACTGCCGCCTGCTAGCCTGCCCTCCTTCCTGGCAGTGCCCTGTCATTTGGTGTGGAAGACGATCATCATGCTCTGTCCCTACACACAAGGCCCAGCCTTCTCCTCCTCCCCCTCCACTTCGTCCTCATTGCAGGCAGGCTCCTCCCATCTTCCCAGCCTGGCTTTCCAGCTCAGCAGACAGTCTCTGGGCAGCACCCTGCCCACTGGCCAGCAGCGTCCCGAGAGTTGTAGCCCTGTGATCTGGACTCCAGTTCAGGAAAGGTCCTATCCAGCAGGTCCCATCTGTGGGCCTTTCTCTGAGGGGCAGAGAGCTTGGATAGTGATGGGAGTTAACCCTGAGCAGGGGAGTGGGAAGGACCCAACCAGGAGTCCGACACTTCTCCAGGAACACTAATCACACAATCCTGCTGATCCCAGCCTGCCTGGTGGGTGTGGCGTGGACATGCTGGGTCCAGCTCTAGGACAGTTGTAGCTTCCACTATCTTATGCAGCTCTGTGCACGTGGGGCCGATTTGGGGATTTATGTTAAGGATTTATGCTACAGACATTCAGTTTGCTGGATTTATTGTATTTGTGGTTTATGCCCAGCTTCCTTCCAAGGGGATTTGTAAAAACTCACGCTATAAAGGACAATGGTATTAAATAAGGTTGAAACAGCACGTGCCGTGGTCCTACCACTTTGGAAAACCTCTGGGCACTGTCTACAGAGCTACATGTCTAGCTAATCAGGGACCTAGTGATTCCACTTCTGTGAGTAGAGTCCAAAAAATGAGCATGCATGTCCACCAAAGACACTTATGAGGAAGTTCACAGCAGAGCGAGCCATTGCAGCCAGAGCCTGGAAAGAGCACAGGTGTGCACACAGGAGGAGCGGTAAATGAGTGCCCGTGGCACACTCGCAGTGATGAAAGAGGACACATATGCCATGTGGCAGCGTTGCGGCGAGTGTCACAGATGTAACATGACCAGCAGAAGCCAGACATGGAAGGGCACGTCCATTTCCATGCCATGTGGCACAGCTCTGCTGTGGTGCCAGCATGGGGAATCAAAGGGGGGAACAGTATTGACCCAGGAGGCATGAGGGAGGCTCCAAGCGCACTTGCCCAGGTGCATGCATTTGTAAGAACGATGCATGTGTATGAGTCGTGGAACAATGAAAGGGAAGAAAACCCCCCAGTGGTGAGCTAGGTGTAGAGATCGTAGCCGAGGTCCTAGACTTGAGGCAACTTGGTGCAAAACTTAGCTCTGAGCTCCTGGGCAGCCAAGGCAAAGAGGAAAACCCACACATGACACAGCTACTGGCTTGTTGGGGGTGTCCCCATGGGCCCCAAGAGGAAAATGCCACACAGGCATGTCTCTGGGGGTTGGCAAGGAGGGAATTTGCGCCTGGAGGTTCTTGGCAGCAGGAGGCCCTCCACTGATGGACGTCCCAAGCTTCCTTTACCCTCTCTCCGTGCACAGGGTACCGGAAGCTGCTGAAGGACATGGAGGAGGGCCTGATCACATCAGGGGACTCCTTCTACATCCGGCTCAACCTGAACATCTCCAGCCAGCTGGACGCCTGCTCCCTGTCTCTAAAGTGCGATGACATCGTGCACGTCCGTGACACCATGTACCAGGATAGGCACGAGTGGCTGTGTGCACGGGTCGACCCTTTCACAGACCATGACCTGGATGTGGGCACCATACCCAGCTACAGCCGGTGAGGCCAGAGCCGGCACCAGGCCGGGGAACGGTGGGGGGCCGCTGCCCCGTAGAGGGGCTCATAGGGCAGCCTTCACCTGCTGACCAGCGAGCCGCCCATTCCCTCCTCCTCCTGAAGCCTCCCCTGCCTGCCCGGGGATATAGCTCCCTTGGGTCCTGTTGCGTCACTAGTGCCGAGGAAACCCTCTTTCGGGCATCGCCAGAGCATCCTGGGCTCTTGATTTTAAGCTCTGTGCTAGTCCTTGCCTTGCCGTAGGCCCCCTCCCTGACATCTTATGTGACAGCATAGCAGTAGCGCATCAGGCTTCCCCGGGTTAGGCAGGCAGGCGTCTGTAAAGCACTTGGTGTCCAGCTGCCGCCCAGGCCAGCCCCGTGAGGTCAGCCTCAGCAGCCCCCATCTACCAGGGCCCAGAGGGGTGACTTTGCCGCAGTCAGCACTGGCTGCGGGACTCAAGCTGAGCTGCCGGGCGCCGTGTCCTCCCTGGGGTGCTCCCAGCACCCCAGAGTGCTCCGTGCACTGGGGCAGGCCCGGCCCTAAGGCTCTGCCCTCCCGTCCCATCCCCCCAGAGCCCAGCAACTCCTCCTGGTCAAGCTGCAGCGCCTCATGCACAGAGGTAACCGAGAAGAGGCGGACACAACCCACCACACCCTGAGGGCGCTCCGGGTAGGTCACCCAGCGGCCTGCCGGCTCCATCGCACCCCCCCCCCGGGCAGGTCTGGGGAGGGGTCCCATGGGAGCCACTAATCTCAAGGGTGATGGATTATGGGACTTGGTTCCTCGGGAACGGAGGAGCCTGCCCCTCGGGGACCTCCCCTCTTTGCACCTCTGGTCTCTGCTAGAACAAATCTCGGGGCTCCTCTTACCCCCCATCCTTGCTCCCCATCTGGGACGCTTTGATTCCATGACGGGCGCCCTTCCCCTTAGCACAGAGGGGGCCGGAGGACGCAGGAGCGTCCTGGCCCACCCAGCGCGCCTGACCTACTGCTAACTGGTTTCAGAACACCCTGCAGCCTGAGGAGCCACTGTCCTCCAGCGACCCCCGGGTCAGTCCGCGCCTCTCGCGAGCAAGTTTCCTTTTCGGCCAGCTCCTTCAGGTAAAGCGCTCCGGAGCGCCTGCCCACTGCGATCACCATCACGGTGGGCTGTGGCTCCGCCCTCTCGCTGCCAAGCAGAGAGGACTTGGCCAAAATAACTGCTTTGTGTTTGTACACCACTTCTAGCTTTTCACGGTGCTTCACAATTGCCATCCCATTTTACCCTCACCGCGACTGGTCGGTAGACGGTCTCTGCACCTGTTGGAAGCTACATCGCTCTCAGAAAAAGATTTGAGGAATTTATGGCTAAAAGAACTGAAACAACTTAGCTATTCAAGTATTAGTAGAAAGATCAGAAACTGTATATCAGGAGAAGAAAACAAACACCGTAGGTGTCCGGGTCAGTTGCATCCCTCCGATCGAGCATGAAATTTATCTCTGAGCATCCTGGCAGCCAAGGAAAAAAGGGAAATGCTATAGATTCTTTAAATCTTCTCTGACCACAGAAACATTTTAGTTCTTTAGGACCAGAAAAAATTTTCCCTTATATTTAATTCTAAAATGGATTTTTCTTTTTGCATGAATCATTTTACAAGGACATTGAATAGCATAGTAGGTGATAGCTTCAGAAGGGATTTCACAGAAATGCAGAAGCATTCTGTGTGGCCCTTTCTTCTGTTACCTGCTGACAAGAGCTAAGGGAGTAATGTTAAGGTGTGGTCCTGCAAGGACGTTCCTGTGTTGGTACTGTGCTAATCAGGCCCCAGGGAAGCTTGTGTGTCACTCCGCCCCTCCCAGAGAACATAGGAAACCCAGAGAAATGGCTAATGATGTGACCCTGAAACTAGGTAGATACAGACAGGTGCCAGAAAGAAACTCAGAGTTAGGAGGAATCCTAATGAGTCTGAGCTGTTCCTACTGCCCACGTCACTGGCCACATGTTATGCAAGAGTCAGAAGCCTTGGGCATCTCTGGATGGCTCACTCTGGGGGCCACTTAACCACAGAGCCAGACTATGATCTCAGCTCCTGGATTTTCTTTCCTGCAGGAGGGTGTAGAGGAAAGATCAAAATAGCCCAGGGAGTAGGTGGGAATTTGGATTCTGTGTGCATCACTGGGGCATCCCTCTCCACCCTCTAGGGCTCAGCTCTGAATTGTCCAAGGGAGCAGGGACCCGCCCCCCCCCCCAGAGCATACTGAGGCAGGGGGTTCTGTGGGTAGTCTGTGAGCCGTCCTACCAGTGGGGGCTCCCTGCCAGGGACCTTCCACCCGTGCCCCACCCCCCCCCAGGAATGCACATGGGATTACCAGAGGGACTTGTTGAGGGCCTATCCGGACCAGGCCACCCCATGCACCCCACCCACAGCCCACCCCTCAACAGGCTTCAAGCATGGTTAGGGAGGAGAGTCGCCATTTGTTTGCTTGCTTACCTACTAATGATTCCCCAAACAGCCAGAGGACCCTCTCAGCCTGCTAGGTGCCTCCTGTGTTTGCAGGGGGCCAGGGGAGGGGACTGAGTCGGCCCCCCAGGGGCAGAGCTGGGGTCTAAGCAGAGGTCTGTCTGTGTCTGGGTTGAGAGGCAGCTCTGTGTGGTTAGAAGCAAAGGCTTTCGCTCTGTCCTCTAGTTCGTCAGCAGGTCTGAGAACAAATATAAGAGGATGAACAGCAACGAGCGAGTCCGTATAGTCTCGGGGAGCCCGCTGGGGAGCCTGGCCCGGTCGTCACTGGACACCACCAAGCTCTTGACCGAGAAGCAGGAAGGTATGGTGCTGATGGCCTGGCCCCTCCCCACCTCCTCCTGGCTGGGAGGCTGCAGGGGGAGCTGTGCAGGTCACATGGGTCCCCACTGGAGCAGCTGGAACACCCACTCCCTCCAAAGAGGGGTCCCGGCCTGGGAGGAGCTGCCAGGGGACCTGCCTGGCCTCGGCTGGGAGACACAGCCTTGCGGGGTGGCGTCCCGCCAGGCTCACCCCTAACAAACACTCGCTGCAGTTGGTTTGAGCCCAGATGCCCGTGTTAATTGGAGCTGTTTGCTGTGAAGTGTTCACTTATTGATTTTTCTCCCCACAGCGTGCTTCTTGCCATTTATCAAGCCCGCCAGGGGTCACTGGGTATATAGTCCCCTGCTGGTGGCAAGCCAGCCCTCCCAGCTGTCCTCATGGGGCCAGGCTGGCCCGGGCACCAGTGGTCAGAGGTGCTGGGCTCCTCTCCAGACTGGCCCTTCGACAGCCGGGTCAGGGGGCTGCTGGTCCCTGGGGGAGGCAGTTCCTGGAGCTGCCTGGGGCTGGCTCTGCTCTACTCCCCTTGAAAAGGCAGCAAGGAGTCCACATTACTCCCTGCCTCTGGCCCTGGTGGCTTCCCAGAGCTTCCAAAGTAAGCCCCAGGCCCCTACTGCCACCCCATCAGTTCCTGCCACCCCCCCCCTCACTCCCTGCCCGCCCACCCCTCTGCCCAAACTGCTCTCACTCCAGCTCTCCACACCTGGCTCCGTGTCTAAACACCAGCCCCAGGCCCTGACTGTCCTCAGAAAACCCATCCTTGTCCATCCCGCTCCAGCCCCCTCCTTGAGAGCTCAGCCCTACTGCCCAGAGTGAGCAGTGGGGCTTGCTACATACTGCTTACCTGCCACCTGCCGCCACCACCTCCCTGGCCCCAGCTCCCAGAACAGGGCCCGGCCCATGGGTTACTGCGTGAATATTCCTGGGTGGCCAAAGGGTGTCCTGGTTCCTGCAGGCTCCTTGGGACCAGCCAGGCTCCCAGGACATCCATGCCCTGCACCCTGACGGGCAGGCCAGGGTCTCACAGCCAGCCCTTTCCTGTCCTCTTGCAGAGCTGGACCCAGAGAGTGAGCTCAGCAAGAACCTCAGCCTGATCCCCTACAGCCTGGTGCGTGCCTTCTACTGCGAGCGCCGCCGGCCGGTCCTCTTCACACCCACCATGCTGGCCAAGGCACTGGTCCAGAAGCTGCTCAACTCTGGGGGTGCAATGGAGTTCACCATGTGTAAGCCAGGTGAGTGTGCCCCGCCGGCCAGAAGCCCATGCCTGCCCTCCTCCTCCTCCTCCACTGATCAGGTGGCCGGGCAGGAGAGCAGGAAGGGCCACACTCCCTCCTGGCCTGGTGTACATGGGGAGGGAGAGTCTCAGTCCCTGTTGCCATGCCAGCCCTCGCTGAGTTCACTGTGGCCCCAGAGCAGGGAACACTGGCCTTCCCTTTGCCTTTCACACCGAAGGTTCAAGACAAAGGGGACATAGTCAGTTAGGAGACATGACCTGGGGTCCCCACTCTGGGCCCTCAGGTCAGAGCCAAGCCATCCATCACTGGGGCTTCCATGCCCTTGATGTGGTTAGGGGGAACCATGGTCGTGCACCCTACACACAGGAGGCTGAGTCCCAGTCTCAGCTGCAAACTAGAATCATCCTCAGCATCATCTGTATTGAAATAGTGGACGTGCAGGGCCGCCCATACCAACCAAATGTCAGGTGTCCAGAGGAGGGTAGTTTTGTTGTTGTTATAGTAAAATATACAAAACATAAAATTCACCACTTTAACCACTTCTAAGCATCGAGTTCATGGGTATCAAGCACATTCATCTCCAGAACTTTTTTGTCTTCCCAACTGAAACTCTATTCCCGTGAAACACTCATCCCTCACCCCAGCCCCTGGCTCTCACCACCTAGTGTCTGCCCCTGTAAATTGGGCTCCCCTGGGGACCTCACAGGGGGTGGTGCAGGCTACGGTGTCTATCCCTTTGCCTCTGGCTTCTATCACTCAACAAAGTGTCCTCAAGGTCCATCCCCATGGTAGCAGGTGTCAGCACTTCCTTCCTTGTTAAGGCCAAGAGGATATTCCACAGTGTGGGTGTGCCACACGGTGTTTATCCATCATCTGTCTGTGGACACGTTGGGTGCTTCCACCTCTGGGCTGTTGTGAATAATGCTGCCATGAACTGGGTGAGCAAGGATCTCTTCAAGTGCCCACTTACAGTTCTTTTGGGGATAGACCTAGCAGCAGGATTGCTGGCTCACATGGTGATTCTAGAAGTTGTGTTTTGTTTTTATTTTAAACTGCCACCATCATCTGCAACAAGGCTCTACCATTCCACATTCCCACAAGCACACACAGGGGCCCAGTTTGTCCCCACTCTCACCAACACCTGTCATTTGCCCTAATGGTAGTTATCCTAGTGGACATGAGGTGGAGGTGTCAGGGTTTTAAGTTTGCCCTCTAAGGTACCATTCACATTCAGCAACCCACTCCCATTTTGGATGTGGGGTTGAATGCATTCAGGCAGGTGTCTACACCCCATGACCCCAGCCATAACCAGGAGACAGAACATTGTGCCCCCTTGGGCTCCCCTCCGTCCCCCTGCCCCAGGAACTGTTGAACAGCTTCTCATCACACATCAGTTTGCATTTTCTAGACTTTTCTACAAATGAAGCCATGTAGCTTGAAATCACGTATACCTGGCTCCCTTCACCCCACATAATATTTCTGAGATTCATCTGTGTGATTGCTCCTGCTGCTGCTAACATCCCTGTGAGCAGGGGGGCCATATCCATTGGGAGTCCTTTATGCAGAGCTCCCCGGAGGTTCTCGTGAGGGGCCAGGGCTGGGAACCCATAGTATGGAGCTTTCCGAATAGCCCCTGGCCAGGATGCACATTTTGTATGTGTTCACTCCTGTGTTTATCAGTAAGCTCTAACATCAGGGTGGGATGACACCTGAGCAGGAGCAGACTCACCTGCTGAGTCCTGAGAGATGGCTCCCCACACAGCCTTCTGCTGCGTGTTGGCACCGACGCACCTGAGGTCTCCCGGAATGCCCGGCTCCGTGGGTAGTGAGAGGCCACACCCCCTGTGTCACTCCTCTACAGCCCCTGGCCCCTAGGAGGCCCTCAGCAAATAGTATGGTTGGTGGGAAAGATCATGTACTTTGAGACAAGTGGCTTCCAGCTCTGGTTCTACCCCTGCCCACCCCCTAGCTGTTTATTTGGGGTAAGTTATCAACCTGTTTCCTTGCCTATAAAACCAGGATAATGGTGGCCCCTTCTTGTACAAGTTTGAAGCTCACAGATGGGCAGAGGCCACCCTGGGACCAAGTGTACCGTGGGTTCCAGGTTCTCAGCCCCCATGTGGAGTGGGCAGGGCACAGATATGAGTCCCACAGCTTGCTGAATGCCAGCTCCTGCAGCCACCGCAGCAACCACCTCCCTTCTCCACGGGGTCCAAGTACTTCCAAAGCCCTCCATAGCCCAGCTTCAGGTGCAGGAACCTTTCAGGCATGTGCACCCTCATGCCCTTCCTCTGCTTGGCTCCCTGGGAGCCTCACACATCCTGCAGGGAGGCTCTGGGCAAAGGATTTTACTCCTGCCTAGGGTTCCAAGGATTTTTGAGCTGGCTCCCTGACAATATGAGGTTAGGTAGAAAGCCTGATTAGGAAATCTCACTCAGGGCAGCCCAGGTGGCTCAGCGGTTTAGTGCCACCTTCGGACCAGGGTGTGATCCTGGAGACCTGGGATCGAGTTCCGTGTCAGGCTCCCTGCATGGACATGCCTGCTTCTCACTCTGCCTGTGTCTCTGCCTCTCTCTCTCTTCTGTCTCATGAATAAATAAATAAAATCTTTAAAAGAAAAAAAGGAAATCACACTCAGCCACTCTAAACTCTGCAAACATGATCTGTCTTCCCCTTGGGGGCCTGTAGGCCTTGTGGGGTGGGCGCTCTAGGTTCCCTCCCTCCCCTGAAATCAACTGCAGCTCCTTTCCTCCTGGCTCTTCCCTGGATCCCTTCCCACTCACTTCCAGTGCACACTGAGGACTAGTGTGGGCTTCCCCGGCTAGCCTAGGCTGACTCCACCCTCCTCCTTTCATAAATGGAGAACCTGAGGTCAAGAGATTAAAGATGTGTTGGGATCCCTGGGTGGCTCAGCAGTTTAGTGCCTGCCTTTGGCCCAGGGTGTGACCCTGGAGACTCGGAATCGAGTCCCACATCAGGCTCCCTGCATGGAGCCTGCCTCTCCCTCTGTCTGTGTCTCTGCCTCTCTCTCTCTCTCTCTCTGTGTGTGTGTGTGTGTGTCTCATGAATAAATAAAATCTTAAAAAAAGAGAGATTAAAGATGTGTTCAGGGTCACCCAGCAAGTGAGTGGGGCCTCCAGTACATACCTCCTCCAGGAAGCCTGCCTGTCCCCTATTCCCTCCACATTTCCTCACTCCTGCCACAATAAATAGCCCATCACTGCACCTACTAAATTGTTCCATTGTCTTCTGTATCCCACATTTTTCTCCCCAGCTAGGTCATAGGTTCTCAAGTACAAGAACAGCTGTGTTTTTATTCTGGCTGACCCTTAGTAGATTTTCAATAAATGTTAAATTTCAATAAAAATTAGCTTGATGGATGGAGGGATGGAGTGGGGGGATGGATGAATGGATGGGTAGGTGGATGGGTAGATAGGCAGATGAATGGTGGATGGATAGATGAGTAGATGGATGGATGGAGGGATGGATGTATGGTTGGGGTGAATGGGTAGATGGATGGGTAAATGGTTGCATGGATGGATGGCTAGATGAATGGTTGGATGCATGGGTGTGTGTGTGGATGGGGAAGGATAGATGGGTGGATGGATGGATGGTTGCATGAATGGATGGATGGATGGATGGATGGATGGATGAATGGGTGACGAGGTAGATAGATGGATTGATGAGTAAAGCAGGAAACCCTTCATCACCAGTACTGCACCTAAGTGCCTGAGCTACTTTGTCCAGTGAAACTTAATGCTGAGAATTTACCAACCAGCTCTTCTGTGGGCTGCTGTGGAAAGTGTAAAGAACTGCGACCTTGACCCTACCCTTGAGAAGCCTCACAGTCTAGTAGAGGAGCTACGGTTTGTTTAAACATGGCCAGGAGGGGATCAACATAGAGTTTTGTTGAGCCCAGAAAGGGGAGTTTTGTGCTGCCCTCAGGACTGACCTTCTGTCCTCAGATGTTGTCACCAGAGACGAGTTCCTCAGAAAGCAAAAGACAGAGACCATCATCTACTCCCGAGAGAAGAACCCCAACACTTTCGAATGTATTGTTCCCGCCAACATCGAAGCTGTGGCCGCCAAGGTGAGGTGGGAGGCAGGGGGCTGGATCAGGTGACACCACTGGTTGTCTTTGTGGGGCCACCTCAGCCATAGACAAGGGTGGGGTGCAGAGTTGCTCTCACCTCCCTGTGGGCAAGCCTCCTTTTCCTTTTGCCTTCTGCTCCACGTTACCTCTCCACATACCTTCATTCTCTGGGCTCCAACATGCACATTTATATTTTGAAACCACCTTCTGTTTCTGATGGTTCCCTGGCACTAGTGTTCTGATTCACATCGTTCAGGACTGTACATGTGCCTAGCTGCCCTCCCATTTCCCCTTTCCGTTTTTCACTCTCATTTATCTCTCCTTTCGCTCTCCTTTTCTCTTATTACATTTTTTCCATTTCTCTTTAAGTTAACATTTCCTTCTTCTCTAAACATTCTCCTTCTTTAAATATCTCTCCTACATCTAACAAACATAATTTCAAACCCCCCCCCTCACACTTCCTATTTTTTTTTTCCACCTAAATTTATCAATTTTATTTACTTCTCTCTTATCCATTCTCAACCAATCCCCCCCCCCATACCCATACCACTCATCCCCAATTCTCTATAATCTATTCTTTATTAAATTAAAACCCTAATTCCCTCTACACTTTCCAAATCACAATTATTCCTTTCATTTTTTTTATCTTTCATTAATAATTCTCTTTCCTTATATTCAATATTATCTTCTAAATTTCTATTCCACCTTTTCTCTCTTTCTTTTATCCTCCTTTTTCCCCTCTTCTTTCATAATTTATACCCACTATTACAACACCCCCCAACCCCCCCCCCCCCCCCCCCCCACAAACAACACACCCACCCCCCCCCCCCCCAACACCCCAACAAAAAAAAACCAAAAAAAACAAAAAAAAACAAAACCACCCCCCCCCCCCCCAAAAAACACATTTTTTTTAAAAAAAAAACAAAAAAAAACCCCCCCCCCCCAAAACCCCCCAAACCCCCCCCTTTTCCCCCCCTTGGAAATTCACTGAGCTGCACACTTAGGAACACACACACTTCCCTGTATTGACCTTCTCTTTCAATGCAGAGCATTTGGGCTTTGGGGGGTTTGTTTCTGAAGTGACACTTCCAGCAAAACAGAGATTGTCCTGCTTCAGAAGGGATGAGCTCATGGGTGCCCGAGAACCCTTGCAGATGCTCCCAGGACTGTCCAGCCCCACCTCACCTTTTGAGGGTTTTCCACCCTTGACAGTACCAAGAACACCTTGGTAAGCTGAGGGGAGCAGCAGGTGTTCTGAAAGCCGATTTTGATTTTGATTAAAACCCCTTCATGCCGCCCGCCTCCCCTCAGGCTAGGTGCCTCGGCTCTGCCGCTGCCCACCGCTGTGTGCAGCACTGTGGAACCAGGTGTCCACGCTAGCAGGGGCTTGTCCTACAGAGGTCGAGCTTCCCCTTGGGTCTCTCCCCAGTGCAGCTGGGGGCACTCGGGGCTCTCGTCCCTGTCCCTGACCTGCAGAGCCTGGCCCTGCATCTCGGGCCCTGCCCAGCCTCCCCAGAGGGGCTGGAGGAGCTACTGACCACCGACTGCTGTGCTTGCAGGACAAACACTGTCTTCTGGAGGCCGGGATCAGCTGCACCAGAGACTTGATCAAGTCCAGGATTTACCCCATCGTGCTCTTCATTCGGGTGTCAGAGAAGAACATCAAGAGGTTTAGGTAGGGCTCTGAGACCCCTCCTCTCCCTGCCACACCTCTGGGGTCCCCACTGAGAACCACTGGCTGTGGAGTCCCCCTGCTCACCCCATTAGGGGGTCCTCATTGAGGGCCTGACTGCAGTCCAAGGCAGCCACGACCTCCAACCTCTAGCAGCGGAGACAGTAACACACACAGAACGTGTCGGGGGGGGGGGGGGACAAGTGCTGGGAGGGATGGCTGCAGGACCCAGGTGGCTGGGGAGGGAAGCTGATGTGGGAGCAGCCCCAGAACAGTGAGGGCAGGCCGAGCAGGTGCTGGCAGAGAAGGACCCAGACTTTGGGGCGGGGACAGCTGCAGGAGGCGGTGTGGTGGGCAGTGTGAGGTCAGTGACCTTGCAGCTGAGGGGTCCAGAGCACGCCAAGGGACATGATCCAACAGGACGTAGAAGGCTCCCTCGAGCTGCTGTGTGGCTGGGACCACCCCTGAGCAAGAGCCAAGACCCAGATCCTATCTGGCAGGTGGCAAGGAAAGGTCTGAATCTGTGTTCAAGGTCAAGCCTGTGGTGTTTGTTGCAAGGTTAGCTGTGGGGTTTGGGGCCTGGCCACTACGTGGCACTATCCCTGACCTCACCTCTCCTATAGACAGCTACAAAGGAGAGGAAGAGAGGTTAGGCCACTCACCTCTTTCACCAGATCTTTACTGGGCACCTGTTTAAGTGCTTGGCACCAGGGAACCCATGAATGAGCAAACGACAAAACTCCCCACCCCACCACTGCACACCCATTCTGATGGCTGCTGTCCAAAACCCATAAACACCCATGTGGTGGTGAGGATGGGGAGAAGCCTAGCGCACCGCAGGCGGGAATGTGAAACCACGCAGCCGCTGTGGAAGACAGAGGGTCCACACAGAATGGCCGTGTGATCCAGCAGTTCCACCCCAGGACATCTGCCCAGAAGAATCCAAAGCATCATCTCAAAAAGATAACTGCTCACCCACAGTCAAGGCAGCCTTATTCCCAAATGTCCAAAAGTGGAAGCCGCCCAAGTGTCCATCAGTGGATGGACAAACAGAAGGTGGTCCATCCATGCACTGGACTATGACTGAGCCTTGGAAAGGAAGAACATGCTGGCACCTGCTGCCACCTGGACGAAGCTTGAAGAGATGAGGCTCGGCGAAATCAGCCAGACACAGAAGGACAAATACCGTATGATTCAGCATCCGTGAGGCCCCTGGAGGAGATGGATTCACAGAGAGTAGATGGTGGCGCTAGGGACCGGGGATGGCGGTCGGGGAATGAGCGTGTTTGTCGGTATGGGTTTCAGTTTTACAGGATGAAGAGGTACCAGAGGTTAGTGGCCCAACGAGGTGAATAAACTTACCATGACTGAACTGTACTCTTAAAGACCGTCAGGATGGGGACTTTTACATGCATTGTACCACAGTTAAGACCAAGGAGGGTAACAGCTCCCCTGCCCCATCAGCTAGCCCTGAAAATGGAAGAATTAAAAAAAAAAAAAGTAAACCAAATAAAAGATTTTTTAAGTCCCACCTCTTTGGATTTCCAGAGTAGCAAGGTGTCCCCCCCCCGCCCCGCCTGCTGCACAGCCCTGTGCTGGAAGGCAGTGGGCACCATGGAGACCCGGTGTGGCAGGTGACAGCCGTGGGGCGGGCAGGGGTCAGGTGGCACAGCGCCCTCCCAGCCCCCACGCCAAGTCTCCCCACGCCTGGGTTCCCACGCAGCTCCCACAGCCCCCATGTCCCCCCACCCCTGTCCACAGGAAGATGCTGCCCCGGCCGGAGACGGAGGAGGAATTCCTACGGCTGTGCCGGCTGAAGGAGAAGGAGCTGGAGGCCCTGCCCTGCCTGTACGCCACGGTGGAGGCCGACATGTGGGGCAGCGTGGAGGAGCTGCTCCGGGTCCTCAAAGACAAGATCAGTGAGGAACAGCGCAAGACCGTCTGGGTGGACGAGGACCAGCTGTGAGGCGGGCCTCTGAGTCTGAGCGCAGCCCCGGGGAGTGTCCGGACCCCAGGGGCCAGTGCCATGGGGGCGAGGGGCCTCCATCCACCCGGTCAGGGGGCTCCCCCGCCAGGGAACCCCGGGGCAGACGCAGCTGAGCGGGTGGACACTCAGGTGGGAGCGGGACGGGTTTAGGGCCCCCCCACCCCAGGGCTGACCTGGCCGAGTGGTCCTGCCCTATGGAGTCAGCAGGGAGGCCGGGCCCCACGACAGACACGACGCCAGGCCCGAGGCCAGCGGCCCCGCGGAAGCCTGAGCAGCGGATGAATGTAACGCATGGAACAGGGGTGCTACCCGTGGGGCAGGGACCCTGAATGCCAGGGCACCCACCAGCCCTTGGGACGCTCCAAATACACGTTCCCCAGGCAGGACAGTTGGGGCGGAAGGGGAAACGTGCCATGCTATTATTTTTCTTGCATTAAAATGGAGACATTTCCTTGTTTTCAGCCTTTTTAAAAAAAATCATATTATTTCATCATTTGCAGAGGTGTTCCACTCTTGCCGCCACTGTAACCTGCAAACCACTTCTGGAAAGCTTAAGTCAGGCCCTGAGTTGTGCATAGGGGTGCAGGCAGGGAGGCCGTACATCCCCGCTTACCCAGGACAGACCTAATTTGTACCGGGGTTTTGGGTGCAATTCCTGGCAGCCCCCTCTTTGGCTAAGATATGTCCTGATTTGGGTGACAAGCTATCAAGCCACTCTGGGAAGGGCCTGTCCTTCCACAGGCTACTTGGGAGCGCCTACCTCTCCAACTCCAGCCCTGAGGCCAGGGCCCCTTAGTCAGCTCCCCCCGCACAGGCTCTCTGCATCCCTGCACATTACGTTCATACACGCAGCCTTACTTCATCTTCCGTTTCAGGGGAAGGGAAGGGGTAGGGGTCTTTGTGGGGTGTGCTTCCACTGCCCAGGAGCTGGAGGGGTGTGGGTATGTGCAGGAGAGCTGTGCTTCCCTCCCCAACAGGTAGCAAAGGCCCTATGGGTTCTAGAGCTACTCTCCTCCTCAACCCCCTTAATGCAGATTTTCCAAGTATGGACCCAACAGGGTGTGGCCAAAGCAGGCCACCATACTGAATATTCATAACCAGGTAGGTGGCAGGCTGGGCTTCAATTCCAGGTCTATGGGTTCTTGGGAACTATAAGAGCAATTGCTTGTTGACAACCCAATACCCACACTCCCTTACTTACCAACAGAATCCTGTTTTATTCTGGGAAACTATGTACAGCTAAAAGACCACATATCCCAGCCTCCCTTGCACCTAGGGTAATCAAGAAAATGTAAGGTGACAAGGTTTGGAGGAAAGACAAAGCAGACAAACAGCCCTTCCTCTAGTGTCCTGCCTGGAATACAGATGTGATGGCTGGAGCTGTAGCAGTCATACTGGATCTTGAGGTGACCTTGAGAATGGAAACTGCACAGAAGATGGTGGAGCAGAAAGAGAAAAGGAGTCCGAGTTACAGATGGCGCGTTGGAGCCCAGGACTACGCTCGGGTTTTGTTTGCATAAGACAGAAATAAATTTTTATCTTGTGTTCAATGGCTGTTATTTCAGTCTTTGGTTATAGCTTGAAGCAATTCCTAACAGATGCAGGAACAGCCCTTGGTCTTAAATACCGTGGGCATGAGTTGATCTGCCAGGTTTTTGCTGCATATTCAAGATACGAATAACGAGTACACAAGCTTTTGATAAATATCTCAGTCTAAAAAACAAACCCTGTGGATCCTGCAGCATTTTGACCCTGAGAAGTCAAATGAGCACCACAAAGCTCAGGGAGGTCGGGGGCGGGGGGGTCCGCAGTGGGGGTCCTGGTCCCTTCATCCCTCTGTGATGACAAATCGTCCCTACAACACTGAGATCCCAGTTTGCCAGGGAGAGCGGTGCCTTAAAAACAAAAGGCATTCTCCCAAGAGCCAGTTAGTGATGCTTTTTATTTTCTGAAACAGCCCCCAGAATCAAGCTGAATGTGCTAGGTCTGGAGGGGCCATGCTTCGGGAAGCCCAGCTATGGTTATTTAGGGCCGGATAAGCCACCCACCTTGAGAGGCGCTGTGGGAGCTGGAAGGCCCTCTGCTTCCATCTTGGTTGAGCTTTACATTGAACAGTAAATCTTCCCCAAGCCGAGGCAATCGAGGCTCACCACTCAGACCCCGTGTGCTTCCTCGTAAAGTACTTAGAGCCAAGGGGGCAGATGTGATTGCAAGAGGGCTCCAGAGTGAAAGATCTGCTGATTTATTTATATTTATCTAACTTCAGATTCTCAGGCTTGTGCAGAATAACCAAACTCGTGAATTGCATGTAACTTGAGGGATGGGAGGAGACAAGAAATCACACGGGGGGAGAGAGACCTGAAAAAAATTTGCTGGGGGTTCTTTCCCCCACCCCCAGTCCTGCCCTCCGCCCACCCCAAGTCATTCTCACCAGGCTCCAGAATGCAGGGCTGTGGGGCTGTGCGTATGCTAATAAGATGGGGCAGGAGGAGAGAAGGTCAGGACTGAGTTTCTGTTTCTGTGTTCTGGGTCAGTCCCCGGATGGATGGAACCGTGAAGTCAGCAGGAGGCTGGGGTTTGGCACCCCGGGGAATCAGTCCACGTGAGGATTTCAAAGAAGCCCCCTGACATCATCTGCCGGAGCTCCGGGCTCTGATTTGTCAGCCGCCAGCAGCCAGGCGGTGGGCAGCTCCGAGGCTGCCTGGGAAGGAAAGCGGGGCCTGCCTGGGGCTGGGCGACCGCAGAGAGTGCCAGAGCTGTCTGCAAAGCCCGGCTGCAGCTCGAGCGATCGCACCAGAGTCTGCAAGCCAGTGCTTTCCCTGTGGAGCCGGCCCAGGGCTCGGGGAGGTGCCCGAGATGCACACTGGGGCTGGCCGCCCGCACCTGGAGCCCGGGGCCCAGGCTCTGGAAGGGCCAGTGCCAGGCTGATAACACTAGTGATGAATGCTTGGGCTACCTCCAAGGACACCAGCCACACAGCTCGGAGCCCCGGAAATCGAGTTGTATGTGTAGATCTACACTTTTCTGGGGAGACACTGCAGGCTTTCTCAGATTCCCCAGGGACCCTACAATCCCTAGAAGATTAATGGCTGATGCTCTCAGGTTGGGAAAACATTAGCAACTGTCTTTTGAGTTCCTACTCTGTGCCAACAAGCACTTTGTAAGTGTTCTTTTACTTATTGATCCCAAACTTTTCTCCATTTTCTACAGGAATAAACAGGCCCAGAGAGGCTAGGTAGCTAGACCAAGGTCACACAGCTGGTAAGCTGACTTGCCAACTGCAGCCTCTCCGCTGGAGCTTGCAATTCAGAGGCAGAGCCCTGGTGGCAGCTGCCGTGGCTCTCTGCTCTCCCAGTGACTGGGGCAGCGGCTGGCTTGGGGGCAGGTCTCAGGATGATCAGATGGGGGAGGATGTGGATTTCCTCTCTTTGACCGAGGCAGCCTGCTTGGGTTTCTACCTAACCAGGCCTCACTTTGGGGGTGGGGAGGGGAGTGCAGGAGGGTATGTCTTTGAGCCCTGGCATCATGCTGCCCTCAAAACCCACTGCTATCTAGGTTGACGCCCCACTTCCAGCCCCACTACCCTGCCTCTCCTGGATTTGTCTTTGGCCGTCCTGCCAAGGTCAACCAGGATATTATGGCTGTCTGATGGGGAAACATGGTTCCAAGCACCTGTTCCAGCCCCTATATTACCCAGAATGTTCTGCACGGCTTCTAACAACATCCACGAAGTCTTGCCCTGTGCTCTGAGGGCCTGGGACCAGAGACGTCTCCAGGGACGGAGGTTGGGGGATGAGGGATAGGAGCAGTTTCCAAGTGAGGCTGAAACTTGGCTTTTTGTTCAAACTCAGGAACCCACACTAAAAGCAGAAAGTGTCCTGCCCTCACTGTCCTGGCCCTGCCTCCCATCCCCCAACCCCTGGGCCAGATGAGGTCACCAGGCTGTGGGGGCTCTGGAGAGAAAGAGACCCTGAGAACAGTTCAGACCTCATGGGGCTAGTGCTGAGTTGAGGGAAGCTGTGAGTGTGAACACCTGCCAGGTGCGTCCCCATCACTGCCTGGAGGGCACCTGTAAGGACCCAAAACCTCAGGTGGGGGTGGGGGGGTGGGGAGCAGAGGCTCCACGAGAAAATGCAACGGTTCACCTTGGTTTTGAATCTGGAGCTCTGTACCCGTTCCTGAGAGAACATTCACAGCCTTTGGAAGCACACGTGATCAGAGACCATGCACATAAATCCCCTCCCCATCCCGTCCCCCAGAGTCTCCTGTGCCATCCAGGGCTTCACGCACAGACGGGCGGTGTGTATTCTTACTCCCCACTGTGTCGCACGCCGTCCTGTACTTTATACCTGGGAGCTCCTCCCTGTGCCTTTCCACAGCTGTCCAGTGTCCCCGGCCAGCCACCCCATCATTTCCTCCACAGACGTGTAGCTTATTGGCAGGGATTAGCTGTGGCCCTGCGTCACTTCCCCGGCCACTGCCCAGGACGCGACCACTTCCCCAGTCATTGGGAGATGCCTCTCTGCAGGATGCACGCCCCTAACAGGAGTCCTGCATGGGTAACCCCATGCATGGCACAGACCCCAGCGCCCCCCGACAGGGTGGCACCCATTCATGGCCGGGGCTTCCGTGGTGGATGACCACAGCGGGCCTGGCATTCTGGTCTGGGACTTTTCTCATGGGCCTATCTGACCCATAGGGGCCGTCAGTCAGTGTATGGACAGCCAATCGCCACACCCTCTGGCCTCGGTTAAACTTTGAAGTTCTGAGACCCCAGCCCCTGGGGCTGCTCTCTGCTGCAAAGCCGTGTGCATGGTTTTTGAAAGGAGAGAAGCTTGTGCTGGGACCCCACTCCCCCTTTCCCATCTGGTAAGGGATACTAGTCCATCCAGGGCCTAAAGCCAAACTCACCCCCTTATATCCCAAACCTGCCCCACGCCACCCACCCCTGACTCCATCATCAGCCAAAAAGCTGGGTGACACCAGCTTTCTCTCACTGAGTCTCCTTTTGTATCTTTCTCTGTGTCTCTGTCTCTCTCACACACACACACCGTCTCCCCATCCCACACCTGCCACACTGGTCCAGGCTGACCTTGCCTCTCACTGACAGCTGGGACACCCCCAAACCACACATATCACACCCAACCACATCAGCCCTCTTGATTTTCCTCTGGCTTCTAGGGCTCCACATAGGCTGTTCCTCTTCTCTGATATGCTGTTCCCTTCCCTCTGCCTAACTGCTACTCATGCATCAGGCGTCAGCTGCATTGTCAACTCTGGGGGAGGACAGCCTGACATGACCTGACCTGAGGTGCACACCCATCACAATTCTCATCAGCCCATGTTGGAGTGACTCTCTCTTTTTTTTTTTTAAGATTTTATTTATTTATTCTTGAGAGACAGAGAGAGAGAGGCAGAGACACAGGCAGAGGGAGAAG